CTCAGTATCTCCATCCACACTGTACTCGTATTCCTCGTCATACTCCTCCGCGTTTATCATGCCAACCCGCTTATCAAACACTTCTAGCACGAAGTGTTCTACCATTTCCTGTATCGTCTCCACGTCGTCTCTCTTGACGTTGTCGCTGTCCCAACCACGCATCACGACGGAACGTAAACGGATGCCATCTCCAGTTGCTCGGCAGGCAACGATGTCCTTGACGATATCGGAAGTCAACTCGATCTCGTTGTCGAGAACAAGCTCTTCTAGGTTGGGACATGCATACTCGTTGACGGGAGCTCCTGGCTGCACAGTCCCTTCGTCCGTCAAGTTCGTATTCACCAGGATGCGGAGGTGCGCGGCCTTGGCCAGCGTGGCACAGAGCCGTAGCTTCTTGAGCAGCGGGAGGCTGCGGGCGGCTGACCACCAGCTCTGATGATCCAGCTCGCAATTGTATATCTCTAGTGTCAGCAATTGCGTATTCGCCTGTGCAAATGGTATCACCCCGCAGCTGAGTAAGACGTGGCCGTGGTTGATTGAGAAGTGCTTGAGATTCGGAGTCGTGATGATCCCAAGTAGGGCCCTCTGTGAGCTGATGGACACCCTGGCCAGCTCGAGAACATCCAAATGCTCCAACTCGATCTTTGGTGTATCATAACGGTGGATCCAGTCTCGCTCGTCTCGGAAATATGCGTCCCTTATTTCCAGGCGTTGTAGACAAGACATTCGTTGAAGCGCCGAGTAGAAAGCCTCGAATGTGTCAGTCCTTGAATACTCCAGGGTAAAGTCGACGACGTGAGGGCCGAAGAACGACAGTGAACGTCCAAAGGACACACATGTAAAGTGTAGTCTTCTAGCATGGCACTGGAAATAGGTCGAATTGAGGGTGGGACCGATCGTATCCTCCCCGCGAACGGAATCGCCGATCTTGACGCCAAGGAACTCCAGAATCTCACTCCAGCCAGGTGTTTCGAATAGAGAATACATAGCGCCCGTCCATTCCCCATACTCAAAGTCCACGTCGATGTCCAGGATCCGACCAACGTGTGGTATCAACAGCTCCTTGAAGCTCTGTATCTGCTGCATTCCCTCGGAAACGGGAACCAATGGCAGCAAAGCCGCACGGATGTGTAATGGGGCATTCTTCGATCGGATGAGATGGACCTCCACTCGCGGCAGACCAGTCACGAGATTGACGAATGCCCACAGTTCAGGCGTGTTGAGTACCAAATCCCGAAAGCAGGAATTCAGATGTGAGCATATGAGCGGAGCGTTCCTGTCCATGCGTGTTGCCCAAAGGAAGATATGGATCAAGATTTCGACCGGCATCTTGAGGAGCCCATCAATAGGTTCGATCGGCATCGTCTCGGAAACGACGGAGGACGTCGACATTGCATCGTCTTCGCCGTTCCACATTTTTATATCCGCGAGCCCCTCCTTTATGAGGCCTTTTGTAACTTTGGCCTCTTCCTCCGCCTGGGTCTCCCTGATAGGTTTCAAAGTCAATGCTCTCCCAAAGTACCCAAGCAGTACGGGATTCACCATAGTTGCATGATATCGGCGGTAGCCTTGATATCCCTTGCCAAAAGTTCCAAGCTCTCCCTATAGGTCTTCAACAGATTGTGTCTTCCGCAGCTGTTGTGGGAAGAGCTCAGATCCCGGACCAACAAAGACGACTAAGTAAAGAACGGACTTACGACCACGCATCATGTCGACAACTCGAGCCACACCACGTCGGATCTCCTTCGTCAGGTTCTTCGTCAGTATCGTCACGTTGCTTAACCACTTCGAGGTTTGCGATCAACTTGTCCAGCGTACTCCGAAAGCCGCATAGCAAGTCGGAGATGTTGTGAAGAGAATCCGGTCGATCGCTGTCCATGGTAGAGGGAGAGAAGGGAACGAGAGAGAGAACGATTGTTCGAGTTGTGGTGGTTGGTGGTTGTGTAATTTGTGTTCTATCGCCGTTTTCCGGCGACTCAAATGATCCTCTGGCGGTCCCATTTGACATAAACCCAGGTGGTTAAATAAAGTTTTGGTGTACAGAAAGACAAGAAAACCTCTGCCTGGCTCGGACACCCAGCCATGCTTAAGTCGCATTGTAAAATTAATCTTCTGCGGAGTGCGACGACCGTTGGCTACCTTTTGCCAAACTCAACATGGCTGCCGAGGTCCTTCGGCTCACGGGGAACTAGAAGGTCAAAGTGGGTGGGTAAACAGGTGGGCAGGCACCCACCTTTCGTGAAGTTCGCTGTAACATTCGAGTTCTACTACCGGGCAACATAACCAAAACAACACAACGACGTCAAGATAGGTCTAGTCCATCTACCATCACATAAATCTAGTGCGGTCACGTCCCTTGTTATGAACTTCTAGAGACCATTGCCTTAATTCTGGTTTTGTTGAGCCCCAGCGCCCCGCATGCTCGTTGGAGGGACGCGTTTCTCTACGATCTCGAAATCCCCCGATGCCATTTCCCATTCTTCAGGATCTCCATCCACACTGTACTCGTATTCCTCATCATACTCCTCCGAATTTATCATGCCAACCCGCTTATCAAACACTTCTAGCACGAAATGTTCTACCATCTCTTGTATCGTCTCCACGTCGTCTCTCTTGACGTTGTCGCTGTCCCAACCACGCATCACGACGGAACGTAAACGGACGCCATCCCCAACTGCTCGGCAGGCAACGATGTCTTTGACGATATCGGAAGTCAACTCGATCTCATTGTCAAGGATGAGTTCTTCCAGGTTGGGACATGCATACCTATTGGCGGGAGCTCCTGCCTGCACGGTCCCTTCGTCCGTCAAGTTCGTATTCACTAGGATGCGGAGGTGGAAGGCCTTGGCCAGCGTGGCACAAAGCCGTAGCCTCTTGAGCAGCGGGAGGCTCTGGGCAATTGACCACCAGCCTTGACGAGGGAACCCGCAGTTGCATATCTCCAGTGTCAGCAACTGCGGGTTCGCCTCTATAAATGGTCTCAGCTCCCAGTTGTACTCGCGGTAGCCGTAGTTGACCGAGAAGTGTCTGAGATTCGGAGTCGTGATAAGCTCAAGGAAGGCCTGCTGCGATGAGGTGGTCAATCCGGCCAGCTCGAGAGCATCCAAATGTTCCAACTTGATCTTCGGTATATCAGGGCGGCTGAACCAGTCCTGCCTGTTCAGAAAGTGCGCCACCCTTATTTCCAGACGCTGCAGACAAGACATTCGCTGAAGTGCCAAGTACAAAGACTCCACTGTGTTGGTCGTTGAATGCTCCAGGGTGAAGTCGACGACGTGAAGACCGAAGAGCAGTAGCGAACGTCCGAAGGAGACACATGTCAAGTGTAGTCTTTTAGCGCAACATTGGAAATTGACCGGACTGAGGGTGCCGGGACCAGTCGCATCCTCCCCCCGAACGTAGTTGCCGACCTTGACACTAAGGAACTCCAGAGTCCCTGTCCAACCGGGTGTTTCGAGTAGGGAAAGCATTGCACCCGTCCATTCCCCATACTCAAAGTCCACGTCCACGTCCACGTCCACGTCCACGTCCACGTCCAGGATCCGACCAACGTGTGGGAGCAAGAACTTCTTGAAGCTCTGTATCTGCCGCATTCCCTCGGAAACGGGAACCAACGGCAGCAAAGTCGCACGGATGTGCAACGGAGCATCCCTCGACCGGACGAGATGGGCCTCCACTCGCGGGAGGCCAGTCACGAGGTTGACGAATGCCACAGTTCAGGCGTGTTGAGCACCAAATACCGGAGATAGTAATTCAGGTGCGAGCATGTGAGTGGAGCGTTCTTGTCCATGTGCGTTGCCCGGGTAAAGATATGGCTCAGGATTTCGACCGGCATCTTGAGGAGCCCGTCAGTAGGTTCGATCGACATCGTCTCCGAGACGACGGAGGACGTCGATATTGCGTCGTCTTCTTCGTTCCACATTTTGATATCCGCGAGCATCTCCTGCATGCGGCCTTTCAAAGCTTTGGTCTCTTCCTCTGCCGTGGTCTCCCTAAGGTCATCATCATTAGTGCTCCGCCAAAGTATGCACGCGGTACGGGATTCACCATAGTTTCATGAGAGAGAGATTCCGATTTGAGGGCTTGCAGCACAAGTGCTGATGGTACCCTTTACTACGGGACATACAGCGACGGTGGAAAAACAGAAGCTATCATGGTAAATAGAACAACGCGAAGAGGAGAGTGGTCAGCTCGAGGGGTGTCTAGGGACGCAGTGGCAGTGGGTAGTCAAGCGACCGGGGGTTGCTGTGGCGGATAGGCTAGTATAGTTTCATGAGCTCGGCGGTATCGCTAATATCCCTCGCCAAAGCTTCCAAGGTCTCTCTATACGTCTTCAACGTCTGGTGTCTTTCGCAACTGCAAAGTGAGAACCTCAGATCCCAAACCAACAAAGACGGTTGGATAACGAATGGACGTACGACCACGTATCGTGTTTACAACCTGGACCACACCACGACGGGTCTTTTTCGTCAGGTTCTTCATAACGTCTCTTCACCCCTTCAACGTCTCCAACTTGCCCAGCACACTGTGAAAGCCGTGTAACAAGGTGGAGATGTTTTCAAGGGAATCCGGTCTCTTGCTGCCCACGACGGAGGGGGAGAATGTGTCCACGGTGAAGGGAGAGAAGGGAAGGAGAGGGTTG